TTCAAACTCAAGAGGAGTTTGGTATTTGGTTTGATATTCTATCTCTTTTACTTACATCTTGTTATATAAATTGTTCATCTCTTCTACTCACAAGCACTTATGCTTTCTCATTAATTGCTCCACTGTGTGGTCTTTTAGAAAAAGATGGCAAGTACTCAAAAAGTGACTCACAATTTGGCCACTTTTTAAAACTACCTAATTCACCCCCCTCTTAGGTTATCTTCGATCCTTACAGACTCCTTTGGTTGGCTAAACTATTTTGATCATCTTAATTATGTTGTGTATTGCATTTTGAGCTCTAATGGTATTAGATAACTTGCTCCCCTGTATATAAACCGTAGGAGATTGAATTGGATGAATTTGAGTAAGAACAATTGAAGTTAGCTCCAAGAGCTAGTGTAACTTTGTTAGGCTTTTAGGGCTGATCAGAACTGGAAAATCAGCCAACTTGTTCAAGCTACTAGTATTGATAAGAGACGAACTAGAGTGTGTATTTGATAATGTTGGAAAGCCCTATGTGTCTAGTTTCGAATGCCACTGACGCACCTGATTCCGACCTTCCTACAGTGAGATATGGCTATTTTCCCGAGACTGCGTGGGCGCGACTGTTTTACCCGCAAAGAACACTTTGAGCTTGAATGAAACTTTTCTTTTGCCCAACTTTCTTGCATTTGTGAAACTTGTTTTCTCATGCACCTTTGCTGCATTTTGGGCCTAACTTACATGGTGAATTGAGTAGATTTAACCACTCACCTGATCACCTAATGAGCTCACTTTTGGGTTGGAATTGAACCTAGTTTGTTAACAATTTCACTCGTTGCCCTAGGATTGGAAAACGGTGGTGAACATAACTGAGGGACTTGACATTTGAACACTTCATTGCTTGACAGGTGAGTGTTCCATTACCTGTTAACTGTCTATGTGAAATATCTGAATACTTGATTGGTGATTGGTTGAGCTAAACACTGTTTTTGTAAAATTGAGGCAAGCGTGTACTTTATCGCACTCGACCTCTTTTGATTCCACTGAACCTCTATAGACTGATGTTATGAGATATGATTTCTCTATATGTGTATTGTTTGTGTGATATCCCATCAACTACTGCCACTGTTTGGGTACCCAACCTGTGACGCCCCCACTTCTCCCAAGGGCGAACCCAAGGGTATCGGCAGGACGCATGCCCAACTCTCGCCGGGACTCGGTACAATCCATAATTCAAAAACTAGAAATACTTCATATAACTTTCATATATGTATTTAAAGTACTCCAAAACACTCATACTTACAATTAGTTAGCTCTCAAGCTTAATACAACCCAAAAGAATATTTACTACAGCCATCTGCTATAATACAACTTAAAGTTTTCCCCAAAAGAAAACAATCTAGCACTATTCATGAGCACTTTTGGTCTCGAATCTTGTTAAGGAAAACAAAAATGTGGAATGAGTTACACAGTCCTGTGAGGTCCAAGACACTCTAGCAGTTCTAATAAATCAAGTAATTTGAACATACTACATGTATGATTCAAGGTTGTATATTAGCACATTAATATGAAACAGTTATCATTGTACGAGTAATTTGAACATATCACAGGTATGGCTCAGGGTCGCACGTTGGCACATTAGCATGAAACAGTTATCATTATGTAAAATAAACACACATTGAAGGATACGGTGTTCCAGTGGAACCATTTCGGTCAACTACACCTTATAACTTCAGAATCCCTTCGGTTTGTCTGGCTATAACTTTATCCCTCCAGTGATAGTACTCGAGTATACCGAAACGGTGTCTTAGGGTTTCAACCTACCCGATCGAGCCCAATCCTGGCTCGAGTAAATTAGTAACCAAGGGCAGGCCCCAGTTCAGCTTAGAACTTACAACATGCACAAACATTTAATACTTAAACATGTAAGAAATACGTGGTAATTTTGTATGAACATGTAATTTATGGCAATCACATAATTAAGTAGTCAGGTAATCAAGTAAACAAGTAATCAAGTCAATTAATAAACAGTGAACGGTAAATGGTAAATAACCAAACGGTAAATAATCTCGATTAACGATAAGATTTATCATTTTGGTAGGTCGAATGAGATAAAGTACACACTCGCCTTAAAACAGTGGTAAAGTTCATAAAAGCAATTATCGGTAACATTTAATAATTAAACACATAATTACCATGGAGTAAACATATCATAAAATTATTCGAATCACGTTTTCCTATACGAAACACTCACCAACCAAAATAAAGTGAGTAAAGAAAGTCGTCAATGATCCACTTCGGAAATCTCTTCGAGACCTTCTTGATCGCCTGAAGAAAAGTGACCAATAATCACCCTCACAATTTCACAACTTCCTTATCAAACAAGAAAGAATGCATACTTGCTTTAGAATTCAAGTCACTGTCTTCATAAACTAGTTTTCCATATGGATTGGCCTATTATTCAAAAACTATTTTTCCAAATACAAAGTTACAGTAACACACAAATAAAAATAATTTCAAAAACATATAATTTACACAATATCTTAAAAACAATTCACAAATATACAAAAAAAAAATTAATTCTACAATATTTTCTTCTTCCACCTAGTGCTGCCACCCGCGTTTAATCTATGCAGGGCCAAAATTCCTCTAGAAACTGACAAGCATCCAGGACAACGGTAAATTTTATTTGATGAACTTTAGAATTGAAGATCATATGGATGTTAGAGTCAAACATCATCATGAAGTACAGTGTCCTGAAGTTGCTGAAAGTATTTATCTTAGCAGGTATATATCCAAGGCAAATCAACTGATACAAGAGACGTGATTATCAGAACTACAAAACTGAAAAATGTGGCAACAAAACAATGGAAGTGTCTCTAAAAGCTTCTTCAGCTCTAATCTAAAGCAATAAAGGTTTTAGCTGAATCTTTTGCAACTTCAACGAAGATACGAGGCATTGTACCACTACCATTGCAGCGAAGACACAAATTTTCCAAATTGGAAACAAAATGAAGTACATAATTTGTTTAGTCATTAGCATAACAATAGAAAAATGCAAGTTTTAGCAGCATGAATATTTATTTCTTTAACCCCATGACATGATTTAATAAACATAAACTTCAATCTGAGACGTGAATTAAAATATACTTTCTAGATGGAGGTTTACACGGTCACTCTCAACTCTTGAAGGTTTGGAGAAGAAGAAAAAAAGCTTAGAAATTGTCCATTATCCAGGGAACCATAAACAAACTTAGAAACTAAATGGCAAAACTTGGGTAAACCCAATTTTCAAAGATCCAATATGTCTGATTGTGTCACACCAGCTCACCAAATGGTGTGACACAATCAGGTCTATTGGATCTTTAAAATTCGGGTCTATCTAAGCGTGAGTCATTTTAATATATTCAAACTACAATCTACAGGTACAACCTAACTGCTTATATTAAAATCCAATAGACTTTTTAATTTTTTCTATGAGAATCAAGATAGTGGTCAATATTGAAATCTCAAGTTCTAACCAAAGGTCCTAATTCTAAGTTAGTTTTTATTCTACCAAAACATAGTGAGTGTTCATCCATCAAAGTATGGATTAGATTTAGTTTATGGGTTTGCTCTCGACTGATTTTGATTTTGTAAAAACTAATTTTGTAAAATTGCTCTTCGAAAATAATATTTTGCAAAATAATTCATGTGTTCTTGTTTACTATTTAAAAAGAAATTTTAATGGATGCACAGTTGTTCTCAAAAAAAGTTAAAGATGGCCAAATTACCCTTATATTGTTCTCAAAAAAAGTTAAAGATGACCAAATTACCCTTACATGCTACATAATGAATTTTTGTGCTAGTTAAATAATTTTTTATTTAATTAATTACTTTTCTTTTGAAATTACATGTTGAATGCGAAAACGAAGGGAAACATAAGCGAATGTAGGAGTGGGATGAGAATAAGAGGAAGTTAGAGAGAGGCGTGTGACATAGAAAGTTATCTAGTCGCTAGGTAGGTTAGTAATTATGCTGGGATTTGAGAGGTATTTTCATCTGCATGAAAAAGGAAGGGTAGAAACAAAATCCAAAAGCGCACCAAGACATGCTTCTGATTTTTAGTCTTTTTTTTGGTTCAAAAATCTAAAATCAAGTTTCAAAATCAATTAAGAGCACAATAAAATAGCTTTTCAAAAATTAAAATCTAAAATAGGATTTCTAAAATCAGTTGCAAATAACGGCTAAGTTTATTATGTGTTGTATTGATCTAGATTGGGAGGAAGAAAAAAAAGGAAAAAGGAGTATAATTGTAATGTTTTCGATTGTTGTCGGTTGTTTAACTGGAAAAAGTTTGAAAAGACCAACCAATAATAGGATTGTACAAGGGTTGTACTTCATTTGCACAATATTATGCAAGTTCTTAGGTGGTCGATTTGTTACTTTATTTGTAAAATTAGCATGGTTTTGTGTCTGAAAATAAATTCAATAAAAGATCGTATCTTGTATTATAAAGTTGTAATCACACATTTTCATTAAAAATGTTCAGGGATTTTTTTTCCCACAGAAATTTGCAACTCCACAATTGCTAATTAATTTATCCAACCAGCAAATAACATTGACAAATATCATTCATCCATCAAGTGAAAAATATGTTTAGTCTGACTTTATGATGAGTTGCATTAATCCATATCAGAAAGGGAAAAAAAATTATAAAAGGGATATATCTGTTCCGTTCTCGAAATTTTAAAGAATCCCCAAAATGTTGCAATTGAACTACAACCAGGCTCTAGTCCACAGCAGCAGCAGTGCAAGGAGCGCCTGAAACAGCTCATTTTACGGTCCAATCCATTTGTTTAACAGGGATCCACTGCTCTTTTATAGGTACACAATAGCTCTCCTTTATAGATGCAAACTTGATGCAGATGACATGACCAGTCATTACTCTAGAAAATGGTCCAAATCTTTATGCCCAAAGGCGATTTGGGCACCATGACTGCGAATAAACTCTGCCCTCGGTTCTGAACATGCAAAAAGATCAAAACGGCAGCAAATTTCATCTCACTGCTGACCGAAGTAGAATATTATTACTCATTGCAATGGCTACTGAGATACACACATAATTGGATTAAAAAATTGGGGGTCTCCTGTCATCATGAATGCACATCCATTCAGGTTAACAGATACAAGCTCACAGATAAACTAAGTTGAAAATTAATTCTCAAGTTCTTTTCGTACAAGCCACAGAACAGGCATTTGCACATCTCTGTACGCTGACTGCATTTCTGTTAGCTGCACCAGTGTAACTGAGGTATTTCCCAGGCCAAATTGCATATCAGCTGGGATTGTTAGCATATACAGATTATTTTAATCTGATGTAATGAGCCATCATGAAACTGGACAACGTTTCAGCTGGACAAAATTGTTAGGAAATGTTTCTCATCCATTATTCTAAGACACCTCCTGAAAGGAAGAAGCATTTTTGTCTATTGACAGGCTTGCAACTTCTTTCAATTTGTCATCATTCACGCCATCATTAAAATGCTCCCTGAGAAACTCTACGGCCATGAAAGTCAGAGCAGAAGCGGGAACATACCACATGATTCTGGGAATGCTACCTCTGAAGATTCCCCTAATACCTTCAGTTGACCATGTCTTCTGGATCACGTCCAACCAGCCATTATACCTGCAAGCATACAAATATTGAAAACACGGCCTCAGTATCATCTTATTAGTAGTATTTATCAGTATTCATCTTATTAGTAGTATTTATAAGGATCATCTTATATCTGAAGATTCCCAGGTAGTACAAAGAATAGCTAGTGGTAATTCGGGTTGAAGGCATACAATAATTGAGCAACATCAGGAGTAAAAGGGACTTTAACATTTCAAGAAAACTGAAATTGGAAGATGTCATTGCACATTCAAACAATCAACTCTATTGACTTTATGACATGGTAACATTATATTCTCCCAGTCTCAGAGGGTAAAATAAATGACAAAGTTTGACCACCTTTAGCTTTTTCATTTATGCGTTCATCTTTCACTATTCCAAATTCTGCAAAATTTTAATATGACATTAAAAATGTCACGGGTGTTGCTAAGCTATTTTACCCTCAGAAAAGATGGTAATCTTCTCTGTTTCCAGCCAAAAAGGATATACCACCAGGAAAAATGTCTATCTCCCTCATGAGATACTAAAAAAGATCTATTCTTTGCAGTCATTTTGGTAGATTCCAAGTTTCTAAACAACAGTTGAAGTAGCAACATAAAGAAAATTCCAAAACAGAATACCTCAAGGTTGTTCCTTGTACTTGAAGCCTTGTTTTAACTACATCCAGTGGAGTAGTAAGATATGCACTTAAACCTGTAAAGCATAAGCAACAAGGTAACATCCTACCCCCAGCCAACCCTCACCATAAGGATAACGAATGAGGTAAAAGGATACAACAGAAGATAGATACATACCACCAGCCAATCCTCCCAATAAAAGCCCCTCAATAGAGCTGTTCGGACAGCGATTTGAATCAGGAAACAATCTTTGCCTCCCATACTCTGTCACGTTTTTGAAGGCCTCATAAAAAGTGACCTGTGGATTGTGAAACATAAAATTTATACAACAGAAGGGTCACCAGAAAATGAAGGAATGTAGTTAATCAAATGAATGAAATTGATTCACTCAAGAAATTCATTTACAATATGTAGATGCAGTTACCAGGGGGACTAGTAGTAGAACTGTTACAGGGATTACCATGGTGATATTTCTTTTCTTATAGTGGTGTTTTTCATCAAAGGGAAAACTGCGCTAAAAACATGACATACTAAGCAAATTGAGACAACCATCATTACACAGTACACAAAAAATAAATAAACAAATAAACTGCTAAGCACTAAGAGTTGCTTCATCAGAAAAAACACTCTGCTCAGGTAAAATAAGGTCTACTACCTCAGCAAGAATTCAAACAGCATTTCTGAAAATGACCAGAGTTAACCTAAATGCCATGTTTGACCAAGCAAAATGCTCAAGAACATGACCTGCAGAGTAAGTAACGCGAGCAAATTTGCTTTCTGAACTTTTAAATCTTTGCCAATAAAAATGCTAGGTCATGCATGATCGCAGTAAGTCCTGCCAACACGGCTACTCTAGTGCAAAATGAAGTCGGACAAAGGTGCGGCAGGGTGAAGTGAAGAGTCCAGATAATATTCCCTTTGAGATCCTTTTTACATAGAAAGAAATAAAACCCTTCCAAGAAGACATCACTTTGGGACTGCAAGTATGATGTAGTGCACTAAATTCAAGAAAAAGGAAGAATAATCAAAAGTTCATGGTTGGATATGGATCCACAGCGTTATTTAATTAGACAACATGTTAGTTTTAGAAGACAGGAAAAAAGAAATACTGGAAAACAAAGAATCCTAAGTATTCTAGCTTTTTCATCTTAAAGTTAAGCGTATAGGCCTTTGCAAGGGAACATAGCATAGGCAGGACAGGAGGCTGGGGTCATTTAGTGTAAAGAAATATCAGAGAACCAGAAAAACAATGAGAAAAACCAATAGATCATCACTATGTATACCATCAGACCAGCAAATGGCACATCCCTTGCAAGTGTAGACCAGTACCTGGAAAATATAAAACAAACAAAAACATTGAGAGAGAGACAAAAAGGCAGAGATCGAATGAAGAAAAAACATTGTCCAAATGAAGTAAAGAACTCTTATAGATGGATCCATAGCCAATTGAACAAGATAATTCCACTCAAAGTTGTTAAGTAGAACACATGAAGAATTAAGAAACATAAAACAACGTTTTACAGCATTGCAGTAAATGCGATGGCATCCAATAATCAACTTCTTGAAACACAAGTACTGTTATTATTGTTGAACTAGAACAAAAAAAAAAATCAAGTATTGAAAATTTTAAAATCTTCATACAAGTTTTGTTCAAGTATTCAACATTACAGGAGATGATATTCATATTGGCCACGAGACAAATGGTTTAAACATATTCAGGAGTATTAGTATGCTCATCCCACTACTTAACTGCTGCGTTAATTACATAATGAAGCATTTGACACTAGGTAAGCTAATCAAATTCTACAGCACATACCCTGCATATAACCCCTTCAGCCCTTGTTCCTTCCATATTGAACAGCCAGCTTGATATAGTCCAGAATAGTAACCATACATAGGGTTGCCATGCTTCATGTGTGCACTACCTTTCATCACCACAGAACTCCAGTATTTCTTTGATCCTTGGACCTGCATGCGTTGCTTCATCACTTCGCATGGCACATACACGAAAGAGCCAAGCGTATCCCCTGAAAAGCGTTAATTGAACAAGGGGAACTAGTTTAACTAACGTGCTTTACATCATTGAAACAACGAAACAGGACTCTAGCCACTAAATAACTAAATCATTAAGAATTATACCAATAGCTCCGGCAATAAAATGTGCCCAGTGGCCACCAAGATTGGGATGCGATGTTTCTATCCACTTCTTGGTGGACTCTATAACTCCAAAGTATGTAGCTCCAGTAGCAAGAGATCCAGTGACCCCTGGTGTAATTCCTCGGTAAAACCCTGTCCACAAATTATGTCAACGGTGCAACAAAAAGGAGAAACTTCACCAGTATGTACCAAAAACATCATTTCAGTGAGCACACAATGAATATAGATCGATAAACAAAGCAAAAAAAGTGAGTCAATAAACAAACAAAAAATTTCAATTACCAGTTAAACCATCAGTTGCCCAAACAGTTCGGACCATCTGCAATATGCTCTTTTGGTTCTGAAAGTCGTATAAAAGCTTATTTAACCAAAAAAAAAGGCAATAAAATCATGTAATTAAAAAAATTCTCAGCAAGAAGCACTAAAAAAAAGGCAATGAAGATTGTCACCGACCAAAAAAAAAAGTGGAAAAAACATGCCGTAAATTTCAGTAGTAATAGTACCCGGCAACCTCTGAGAACGGCTTGGCTTTGAATCCGGGTCTTGATGGTATCAACCGGATGCAGCATTCCTTCCCCAAATGCACCAGCTATTGCCCCCCATAAAAATTCCCTCCACACTGCACCCATTCAATTAGAAACAAGAAAAAAGCAGAAAAAATTAACTCAGGTAACGGTTTGAATATTGAACAACCGTGGAGAAATTCTGAGTTTAAGGAAAAATCTTAGGATAAAATTCCACACTAATAAAGCTTAAAATCACATGCAATGCACAGAAACCCTACAAAATTAAAGATGAGAATGGGGGTTTTACCGAAGAAATGATTTTGAGTAGAAGCGGAGGTTTTAGTTGTTGAAAGAGTAAATGGTTGATTACTTGAGGATGGATTCGGGTCCACCATGGCTGGAGCTGAGAGAACTGGGAACTGGGAAGCAGAATAACAAAGGAGTTTTTACTGTTTATGAATTAGCAGGGCTCCTTATGTCGGACTCGGAATTTTGGGGTTTTAGGTGACGCTAGAATTAAAGGACGTAGCGGCTTGAAACCGCGTCAAGTGGGTTGGATTAATTTAGAGATGGCAAAACCAGCGGATGAGTCAGATTTGCTTGGTTTGATATGGACCAAGTAAGTTTACCTAATCTTATTCATATTAGTTTTGAAACTAATTTAAACCGAATCACATTGGAATGGGTTTAAGTTCATCTGTTTAATATCTAAATCTATTTTTTTTATATAACTTTAATTTTTAATTTATTCAATTTCTTTTGGCCTTATTGTAAATTTATATCTTTCTGAATTTTTTTTTTCAATTTTTTATTTGTATTGTGTGTGTATATAATTTTTTTATCTTCAATGTTGCTAAATTTTAGTTGAGGAAAAAATAAGCCCTATAAAAACTTAAAAATACTTATGATTATAAAGAAGGGGCTCCAAAAGTATTTTGTAGAATTGATTTTCAAGTTAAATTACACACGTAATAATTCCCAACTTTTTGAATTTGGTGCTTCACGCACAAATGACAGAACTTTGCCAGAGGCCTAAAAGTAAACCATCCATTACTTTCCTTCAGAATCAGAATGCCTCAAAGATTTTTGCTTTCTTTTCCGCTCAATGTCTGCTCTCTCTTTTTTTTTTTTTTTTTTGCCTGACGAAGGAGGTATCCGGGCCATCGGGTAAACCGGACCCGACTAATCCTCCACCGGCTCGAGAGGAGAGGCCCTATCCCTCGAACACAATAATCATGGGACTCGAACCCTTGCGATAATGGACAACGACTGTCGTAGGAGGCGCGTCGTGACCAATCGAGCTACTATGAGGGGCTCTCCATGTCTGCTCTCTCACCAATAGCTATTTCAATGGACATCACTCCTCCATCAGAGGAGGAGTAGGACCACATGAAAAGAAGTAAAAAAAAAAAAAAGGATTAAGAATGATGGCAACATGAAAGATCCCAATGCAAATGATAAACAATATCAAGTTGGAGTAGCAGAAAGTGGGTGGAACGTACCCGTTAGCTCTATGAATGCAACAAACTGGGAAAGCAGAGGAAATAGAGAAAATGCTAAGACATTCAAAGATGTTATTTTAGGCTCTAAACTAGCAGCTCCTCAACTGGTTTATTTTGAATTAGATGATGAAAATCTCTCAGATGAGGATCTGTTTGGTGAAGAGGATGAAGAAGGTGGCTCTGACGAGGATACGAAGCAAACAAGCAATGAAGAGGATGACGATCCTCTCTACCCAAACGTTGTGTTGCCATCAAAACTTGTGAAGGATCTTCGAAAGGATTGGAAAAACAATCCACGGTAAAACCACAAGGAAGATCTATTAGTCATGACTTATTGAAGACAAAAACGAGAAGCATGTGGGATCTTCAGGGAGATTGAGATTATGATTATGATAGGTATTGAAAATAATTACTTTTTGTTCAAATTTGATTCGGCAGCTGATAGGCACAAAGTTCTTACAGAAGGGCCATGGATTATATCATGAACCACTACTTCACCGCCTATAAAATGGACACCAGACTTCAAACCGTCAATGGTGAAGGAGTCCAAAACTTCAGTTTGGATAAAGGATATCGAAGCTTCCTATAGAATATTATAAGTCAAAGCCTTTATTCATGATTGTTGAGAAAAATCGGAAGGCCAATTGAGATGGATTTCAACACTGCAACAACAATGAAAGGCAAATCTGCATGCATATGTATTGAAATAGATCTTAGTAAGCCACTTATCCCTCGCTTCAAACTAAGGAAACATGTTCACTCAGTTGAATACGAATATTTTTCATCAATTTGCTTTGATTGCGGGAGAGTTGGCCACAAATTAGAGTCCTGCAGCCAAGCCTCAATGGCTATGACTTCGAAGAAGACAACTATTGCAACAGCAAAAACATCAACAATAAAAACTTGTAATGTTGAAATAGTTTTGGATCAACAAAATCTTACCGGAAATAGTCACCTCTTTGGTCCATGGATAATAGTAAATAGGAGAGGACTAGAGGTGCAAACAAATTGAACTTAACCAAGTAGGTCACGAGTTTACTCGATTAACGCTTAAGCTCGAACTCGCATTGATTGAGTTTGAACTAAAGTTCGAGCAATTCGAAATACTTGACGAGTCAAGTTCGAACTTAATATGTGAAACTCAAAAACTTGTCAAGCTTAATTGAGTTCAATCGAATTTCACAGATATATGTTTTTTTTAAATTTTTTATTTATTAGTATAAAATGTCTATTTTGTCCATTTTTTATTTTATTTACTAGTTGGTCGCTCATAATACAGTGACTAAATGTTTTCCTCCCAAAATACTTGTTCTCATGGTATCAGAGTAAAAGTCCTAGGGTTAGGGTTAAACATTTAGTAAAAGTCTTGTTCACGCGATACTGTTCACGCGTTACTGTTCATCGCGAATTTTGATTGCTTTTTTGTTTGAAGTGCTATTCGCTTTAGTTGAAAGTTTTGTTAATGCAGTTTACCACTGACCAAGTTGAATCAAATTCTTCAGCACATGGATCCTAGAAAACTTTTATTATATTCGAGAAAGATTATGTTAAATTCCTACAGTATCAAGTTATAAATCACGCATCTCTTCCCTCTGCTTCTTTAGCACAAAAAGGTAATGACTCATGGATTATTAACTCCGGGACTACTGATCATATGTTAGGTACCTCTAAAAATTTTTCTAATTTTCAAGAGTTTATTTTCTTTCCTCATGTTACTTTAGCTGATGGATCTACCACTAAAGTTAAAGGACTAAACACTGTAAAAATTAACCCATCTCTTCCACTGTCTTCTGTTCTTTACGTACCTAATTTGCTCTTTAATTTAATGTCTGTTAGTAAACTCACTAAATCTTTACAGTGATCAGTTATTTTTTCTCCTGATTTTGTTGTCATTCAAGATTTGAAGACAAAGAAGATGATTGGTGGAGGGTATGAGCATAATGGTCTTTATTTTCTCAACTCCAATGGTCCGATTGCATGTCCTGCTATTGTTTCTCCTCTTGAAATTCACTGTCGTTTAGGTCATCTGTCTTTACAAAATTTGAAAAAGTTGGTTCCTACTTTGAGTCAGTTATCTTCCTTAGAATGTGAGTTTTGTCAGTTAGGAAAGTATCATCGGATTTCTTTCATGAATATAATGGTCTTTATTTTCTCAACTCCAATGGTCCGATTGCATGTTCTGCTACTGTTTCTCCTCTTGAAATTCACTGTCATTTAGGTCATCCGTCTTTACAAAATTTAAAAAAGTTAGTTCCTACTTTGAGTCAGTTGTCTTCGTTAGATTGTGAGTTTTGTCAGTTAGGAAAACATCATCACGTTTCTTTTGCTCCTAGAGTCAATAAACGGGTTTCTAAACCCTTTTTGTTAGTTCATTCTGATGTTTGGGGTTCTAGTCGAATCACTTCAAAGTTAGGTTTTAAATATTTTGTAATCTTTGTTGATGATTTTTCAAGAGTTACATGGCTTTATTTAATGAAAGATCATGCAGAACTATATTCCATTTTTTGTGCATTTGTTACAGAAATAAAGAATCAATTTGATGTGCCTATACGTATACTTCACAGTGATAATGTGAAAGAATATTTTTCCACTCCTTTTAATACCTTTATGACTAAATCCGATATTATTCATCAGTTCTCTTGTTCTCATACTCCACAACAGAATGGAGTTGGTAAAAGAAAAATTGGACATTTAATCGAGATTGCTCGAACACTTTTGTTGCACATGAATGTGGCCAAGCAATTTTGGAGTGATGCAGTTCTAACTACATATTATTTAATTAATCGCATCCATCTAATATCCTTGGAGGCCAATTACCTCACTCCATTCTTTTTTCTCATGAACCTGTATTTAAATTATCTCCTCGTATTTTTGAATGTGTGTGTTTTGTTCATCAGTTTGCTCCCGGAGTGGATAAATTAGATCATCGTGCTATTAAGTGTATTTTTTTGGGATACACACGAGCGCAAAAAGGGTATAGATGTTATAATTCTGTTTTAAATCGATTTTTTATTTGTGTTGATGTTAATTTCTTTGAATCCACTCCATATTTTATGAAACATGGTATGTCTTGTGAGTTAGACTAGTGTCTCTTTTTTCTCTCTCTTGTTTTACCAGCCCCTTCCTCTTTATTACCTGAGTTATCTAGTCCACCAGATTCCATAACTCGATTATCTCGTCCTAATTTTCAAGTTTATTCTCATCATTCCATGGTTGAGAAAGTTCCTGATATGCCATGTACTTCACCAATTAATTCTCAATTTTCAAATCCAGGTATTGCTTTAAGCAAAGGTAAGAGGCATTGTACTTCTCATCCTATTTCTAATTTTATTTCTTATTTTCGTCTCTCAATATCATATTTTTCTTTTGTTACTTCCCTTGATTCTGTCCCCATTCCTAAGTCTATTACCCATGCTCTTAATCATCTTGGCTGGAGATTAGTTATGCAAGAAGAGATGTCTGTTTTGGAACAAAATAGTACTTGGGATCTTATCCTTCTTCCTTTTGGTAAGCCTGTTATTGGTTGTCAATGGGTGTACACTATAAAAGTGTAGCCTAATGGTTCTATTGATAGATTGAAGACTCGTCTAGTAATTAGAGGATTTACTCAGATGTATGGAATAGACTATTTAGAAACATTTTCTCCTATTGCAAAAATTATCTCGGTTCATCTTCTTATCTCTTTGGCAGCAACTTATAATTAGCCATTGTATCAGTTGGGTGTGAAAAATGCATTTCTACATGGAGATTTGGAAGAAGAGGTATATATGGAACAACCTCCTGACTTTGTTGTTCAGGGGGAGAATTTGTGGTTAGTTTGTCGTTTGAAAAAATCCTTATACGGATTGAAACAGCCTCCGAGGGCTTAGTTCAGCCGGTTTAGTAGTGTTGTCATGGAGTTCGGTCTGATAAAATATGGAGTAGATCACTCTATATTTTATCGCCATTTTAATGTTGGTAAAATTTTATTAGTTGTTTATGTGAATGATATTGTAATTACAGGTGATGATGGTGTGGGAATCCAGAAACTTAAATCCAATCTGCAGGCAAGT